GGATTTACCATCACATTATATCGCCCCATGGCTGAAAGAGCAAACATGTTTGGCGGGACGAGGATTCGAACCCGTGACCCTCAGATTGTGAGCCATGGATTGGAAAAGGACAAGATGATTTTGATATTTGAGATAGTTATGGCTGGATAAGAACTAAAGTATTTAAATGCTTATGGGTTGAGCACAAGCAAATTTTGGTATTTGATATAGCCATGAATTGGAATAACTCCCATCTTGAGCTTGAGTTTGACCTTGCAAATTGAAAGTAGTGCTGAAAATCAGAATATTTAATAAAAATTAAAAAAGTGTTATTTCTATATAAAATTACTACTTTTAAAATTATTTTCTTTCAAAACTTCTTTCCCTAACTTGATTTGTTGCTAGTGGCAGGGCAAATACAATTCTGAATTGTGTTTCCAGGAATATCGAATATATATCTAGAGAGGTTATCATTTCATTGTACAAGTCACTGGTTAGGCTTTGTTGGGAGTAATGTCTTCTTTCCTGGCTCCTTACTTTACAAAGAACACTGAATTGTTGGACTGGATTCAAAGGAAGGTTGTTAGGATGATACACAAGATAGAAAGATTGTCATATGAGGACAGGTTAAAATCACTTAAATTCTTCTCTTGCAAAAAGAAGAGTTAGAGGGTATCTGATTGAAGTGTTCAAAATTAAGGGAATTGACAGTATTAATTTCTTCATATTTAATGGTAAGAATTGTAGTACAAGAGACAAATATACATTTACAGTTTTACTTTTCTAACAGAGTGGTTGAACTTTGGAATGGGTTGCCTTCAGGTATGGTGCATACACTAAATTTAAACAAAATCTCAAAAACTATTTAAATGATTAGGGTTGGACACTTTCTTGAAGTGGATGAGCCAGCCTTAATAAACTAAAAGTGTCATGATATAAAAGACTGTTTAGTTTAGATATTATTGATTAATTTCTTTTTCTGAGTGAATATTTTATTATTGTTTAGTTTTCGTTATAATAAGAATTAAAAGCAGACGATTGTAGGAAGTTTTGTTAATTCATTGATGTTGAGACTATTGAACCTCACGTGCAATATATTGATGCTGAGAATATAGACGGCAGACAGATGATTAAGTGGTAAAGATATAAATAGCAAGAAACGAGCGGAAAGAGCAGACAGATAATAGCAGAAGAAAGTAAAGTTACAAAAGAAAAAGTTAACTACCATAGAAGTGATAGGCATAACGATTGACATAGGCCTAATGTTTAATACGTTTAGAGTAAGACTAACAGTAGAAAAAGGAGATAAGAAGAACTTATTCCATCAAAGCATGGTTCTAAACTAATTGAATCAGCATGAGTACACTTTGACAAAAGGAACAGAGGATATTTAGAAGAAAGAAAACCAAATGATTACAGTAACTCACACCACAATTTTAAGTGAATCACACACAGAATACTAGTGTGATAGTAATAGAGAAGATAGTTTGGCTTGTCAACTGAAATTCTAAAGTAATTAAATAGGCCTAAGCAAACTTTTTACAAGAAGAAGAGAACTACATATATGGTGGTTCTCTATAGCACGAAGAATTTATTGTACACACGGTAACTTGTTCTGAATAAATATATTATTTTGAAAACAAGTGAAGTGCGTGCTGTTTATTCATCATTGAATTTATCGCTAACAAGTCACAGACACCTGCTATAGAAGAATCCTAAGCACAACTACAACATAGTATGTATTTATACTATTATGAAATATAAGTAAAAGCCTTCTATTTTGACAACTGGCAAAAAAAAAGAGAAAGAATTATATATTTTAAATTCTGACAAACAGATCACTTGATGTCCTTAAATGTCATGCATGTTAAATTTAAAAAATCTTTCAAGACAGTGATCATGACCTTGACAATGAAGCACTAGCATGGACAGCATACTAAATATATTTTAAGTTATGTATGATACATTTTGATCTTAAAATTGTTTTATGAGAAGATAAGCAAGATACAACATGGCAGTATAGTTCCATTACATACAAGACAATCTTGTAAACTAAAACACTGTATATTCATGCACAACTATAGACTATCAGTGGCATATTAAGGATTACAAGAATGGAAAGTTTCCTAATCAGATGCTAATACCTTTGATGCTTCAAAGCAAGCACTAATGATGCATGACCCAGTAGACTTCAGAAGGCATATTAAAATAAATATTACAAGATATTTGAAAAAAATTCATCATCTCCAATTTATCAAAGGTAGATTAACTTCAAAATTGCATTTTAATGGAACTTTGATAATGCAAAGTTAAAACTTGGGATAACTGTCTAAGGCTATACTGAAAACTATTATTAAAAAAAGTGGTGGGGGGGATTCCACTGTTCCAGGCAACTTAGAAACACCCCTTGAATATGCTACTTTATACACAAGGCTTACAAGTTATATAACTGTTGTAACCCTATACTATAGTCAATGCATCATGTTTTGAAATTATAATTTTGACTCTCCCAGCCATCCAAAATTTCTATTTTTTCATAAATTATTTTTCAAATTAGAAACATTTCACTGCAAATCACAACATGGCACGTTATCTATTTCCTATTGTATCACTAGGAAAAATACCATAATGCACCAGTGAATTGTTTCACCCATACTTTTCATCTTTATTCAAAAACCATAATAAATTGCTCCATACAATTTAAAATCATTAAAACTTACATTTTTCACTTATTAACTTACCTCCCGATAGCAACTGTTGTTGTTCAATTTCTTTAATAATATTGCTATGTAGTAGTCTCATGGATTGCTGAACCACTGCCATAATATTTCTCAATTGTGTTAATAATATAGACCTGTAAAGATAATAGTTGTACAATTTATAAATTAAAATTCAAAAGTAAAAATTTAACAAGATGTATAACACTCACTTCTACTTGAACTACTTATTTAACAATAATTGAATATTAATAGTAGTAGTAGAACAGTACAACTTACAAGAAATGCTTGCATTAGCCACTCAATTGCTCATAGCCTATGTTGAATTAACTCAAAACTTGTTATAAAAATTAGCTAAAACTAACGTGCTAAGGCTAAAGTAAACTTAGCGTTGTTATACCAAACCGTACGCTCACGTACCACTTTTAGTTAATCAGTTTTAACTTTTAAACTAAAAACAAACGTACTAGTAATACTATAGTAATAGCTGCGCACACGTAGAAAATAACGAAAAAGAAGTCTACTACTTTACAGGTTTCGACAAGTAACCTAATGTCACTAACACTGTAACAGTAATACTAAGACTACCAACAGAAGAAAGCCCTCCTATTCTTAACTTACTTTATCAGATACTAACTAACTTAGCCCAAACCTTTAACACCAGTTGCCACTGAACAAAATAGTTAATACATTATACAGTGAAGTAATCTTAACGAGTAATAGACAAATAACTTATATTTTACTTGATTAACGTGAAGACACTATTTACAAAAAATAATTTTATATACGCTTTTCACACAGACTCAAAAATACGGCTGTCACACAATACTATCATTGTTACAAAAATACAAATATTTGAATAAAGGCACACGAAACTTCAGCTGACACAATAATAGTGATACATCAACATATACATCTGAAGTTTAAACTGCAAATACCAATAAATACCCGGATGAATGCTTACACATCAGCTGGACGAAGTCTCTACACCAGGTGTTTTCTGTAACTAAACAATTATAATAATAATAATTAAAACATGTATAGTAAAATAATTAATAATAATTATTATTTTTTTAGAAAATACAATTTTCTTAGTTTCTAGATATATTTTTAAAAAACTTACCTTTTGAATATTATAACAAGATCCAAAAATGTTTCTTATTCAATCATAACAATTAACTACTCTCATATTTTTACTTATTTCACTTTATGTTTAAATAGTATTGTTTAATTTTTTATTTTCTTAAAAGAGTATTATGTTATAAAGTGTAACGAACTTGTGCTCTTTGTATATTGGCTCATTTGCATAGCTGTCTCTGGGACTGGCATGTGGGCTCCCATCTCTCGTTAATTTTCCCTCTGCATTTTTCGAGAAAGTGTTAAAAAGAAGGCCCTTATAAAAATAAGTTAGCAAAATGATTTACCATAAATGATAGGAAGAAAGTAAACACATAAAGAAAAGCTCAAAGGCTCATTTATTCCGAAGAATGTTCTATTATATTTTATTACTTTTTCTTTTCTTTTTGTATGAGCTAAACCTTTATTATAGTATTCTTAATATCCTGCTTATTGTTTTAGAGTAACAGTATTTTTTACATTGTAATCTATTTATAGAACTATAACTTTCAATATTGTAATTTGCTTACTATCTATCCACATAGTATTTTAAATAAGGCCCCAATAAAGCCTTACTTGAGGTTATAATAATATTATTTCCCTTCGCTTCAGAATTCCTATAAATAGATTTCACAACAATTACAGATCTTTTTACCACAACTAACCACTCAGGAAAAGATGCCAGAATTATAGCAGTGATGTAATCTAGATCATCTTCTTTCTCCACAACACTGGTGATGATGTGATCCTTGTACACAAAGTAAGTCTATTCTAAATTTCCATATCTCCAATGTATTATATATATAATGAATTTATATTAATCTTTCAAATTGTTGCTCAATCATCATATATTTTGTCCTGGAATTACAGGTCATTCACCCCCATTCTTTTTGGAGTTGTATTATAAACCTGAACCTCTAGAAGGTTTAATTAATTCGTGATAATCCTAGACTTGTATGTCACTTAACCTATAATTATTAGTCAACTTTATTTTGAGTTGTATTTTATTCCTGATCTCTCTGGAGGTATAAGTCATTTCTGAATTGTATTATAATGTCCATAGCCAACCAAATAGGAAAACGAAAAAGAAAAAGGTATCCAGTCATTCTGGCATTAAGTTGCGGGTTATTTCTGACCTCCTCTGTCCTCATCTTATCATAAATGATAACTCTATGATCATAGGCGGCGGAACTGGGAAGCACTGTGAACACTTATCCTTAAATTTTGATTCGGTAGTATTGTGCCTTTTTGAATGGAGAATAGAGATTTGTTATTAATTATCAGGGAAAGTTGCTATTGCAACTTTGAGTAAACGATCACACTTAACATAGCAAATAAGGTGCCCCCAGTCGTCGGTGCTCCACCAAATTTAAATTTATGCCGATGTCTATGCCTGTGATTGGTAAATGTAATGTCTCATCATCCTAGAGTAGGTGTACACAATATATTATTTTAGTGTATACGATGCCTAAGCACGGTAGAGTTTATCGTACAATTTCAGATAATCTTAGAGTTGGCGTGCTACATACGTTAGATCACCCTAAAGTTGATGTCTAAATTTGTTTGTTTGTTTGTTTGAAGTTAAACACAAAGCTACACAATGGTTTCTAGCGTTATACGTTCGTAGACATGCCGCTGTACCACTGGGGAGGGCATAATGTCTAAATAAACATCGAATTAGTATACATAACGTTTAATCATCCCTGATTTAGTGAATACGGTACGATATCTGATATCCGTAGGGTTGATATCATAGCTGTGCGCTCTACCTCTTCAACGAAGCGTCGCTATTGCTACCGCTACAGCAAGAACAATACAGTGGCGTTACTACTGTCGCTACATATTTATAAATATAGCGGTCCTATCGCTACCGCTACTTTTGAAACTGACATTTTTCATGATAATTTGTTTTGTCGATGGATATATGTAAAAATGAAAAACGCAAATTTATTGGTAAATGGTAATGCCTTATTGTTACAATAATATAATACAGATTTCTCAAAACAGCCTATTTATGTTTGTAAATGAGGAGAAAAAGGTAGCTAACAACCATACATCCTTCGTTACGTTCAATGATAGTACTTAAATAACACAACCTAAAAAAATACATGAATATGACGACAGTAATAATAATAAAGTTCACAACACCAATTCAATCACGTGACACGTTTGATTGTATTTCGTATGCAAAATATAGTGTTGTTACGACAGTGGGGGGTCACGTGACCCTAGTAACACGTCATATTCTCGAAGGATCCTGAATGCTCGAGCGTTTACTAGATTTCGATATTCTTTTATATATAAGACGGTCAAGACGTGACGGCAACAATGTAATGTGTAATTGAACTGCGGACAGAGAGACGTATTGTTGAGTCGAGCACGTGAGACGTTCGTTGTGAATTATAGCGTTTGTTATAGCGCGACTGTGGAAATTAAGTGTATTGCAAAGTTGTATTCAGAAAGAATAAGCCAGTTTTACTTAAGAAAGGACTTGTGTCGCTAAAGTTTCTTCGGAAAGAATTTTTACGGAAAAATTAACTAACGACCAGAGACGTAACAGTGTAAATATATTATAAAAAATGCAATATACAAAATCATATAATACTATAATATGTATTATACATCACAATTGCTAATAATACGTATGTCTGGGATTTTCTTAGCTAATTACCCGACATGAAATATAAACTAGCAGGTTCATATGAATATCGCATTATCAAGTGAAACGTGTTAACCAAAAAAAGGTTTTGCTAGAATTTTCCAGATTAGGAATTTAATAAAACATTTAACAGTACTTCTAAACTAAATTTTTCATAAAAATAAATTAATCAACATTCTAAATTAATATTAAATTAAACTGAACATGTAAACATTAAATATAACAGTATTATATGTATTGTTACG